AATTACAACAATATCAAGATTTAGTAGAACGTATAATACATCACGTTATTAGTGTAATTAGTTTATCGGGGGAAAAATACATGGATGTGTTGTAGTCGTAGCCTGAGGAAGACTGAAGTTCTTCATCAGCCCGCTCCCGATGAGGAGCATCATCCACCAAACATCTTCATTGAACAAACAGAACTGAAAGCTGTCCACCAGTTCAGCTACTTGGGGTGCGTGATCTCGTCTGACGCCAAGATCGACAACGAAGTCGACAACAGGCTGGCCAGGGCAAACAGTGCATTCGGCAGACTATACAAACGTGTCTGGAACAACAGCAACCTTAAAAGAGACACGAACATCAACGTCTACAAAGCTGTTGTGCTGACCACTCTCCTGTATGGCGCTGAGTCCTGGGTCACGTACCGTCGTCACCTGAGTCTCCTCGAGCGTTTCCATCAGCGCTGCCTCCGCACAATCTTCAATATTCACTGGAGTGACTTCGTCGCCAACACTGAAGTCCTCGAGTCAGCGGAGGTCATCAGCATCGAGGCCATGGTCCTCAAGATACAGCTTCGTTGGGCAGGGCAATTCGCCAGGATGGAGAACCACCGCTTACCTAAGATTGTGATGTATGGGGAACTGTCCTCTGGCCATCGCAACATAGGGGCACCACGAAAGCGATACAAAGACTCCCTGAAGAAGTCCCTCACTGCTTGCTGCATCGATCACCGTCAGTGGGCAACACAAGCAGCTGATCGAAACTCCTGGCGGCACACAGTCCACCAGGCCACCTCCTTCTTCGAAGATACCCGCAGGGCCCGTATGGAGGAGAAAAGGAGAAGGAGGAAGAACCATGGATCCCTCAGCACCCATCTCAGATCAGACCTATACTTGCAGCCGCTGTGGCAGGACCTGCTTGTCCCGCATAGGCCTCGTCAGCCACCAGCGCGCTTGCAGAAGACGTGGATGTCCTTCCTAGATCTTCGTTCGCGAAGCCAAGCCATGATGATGATACAATTGCATTGTAAAAGTCGCACTGCACTCGTTAAACTGCACTGCTGTCTCCCATTATTGAAAACCCCAGGGGGACATTCTATTTTTGGCGATGGCATGTTGCACCCCGTCCTCCACACGCTCTGCATTCCCCTCCCTGCTCAAGGCGTGACACTAAAATACCCATTTGCATAGAAGCTGAAAAGGGAACAAACTCAACACGTTTGTCAACATTTCCCTAGAGCGGAAAACAAATAACAGGGCCTTATACATTGCAGGGATGAAGGGGCACATTTTACCACAACGTCACCTACTATATTTTGTCTCCACTTTAAGGCAGTGTTGCTATTGACTTATACACTCGGCGATGATTTTAACAACGGCCATTCATATTTCACGTCTAAATATCGCCCATTACAGCATTTATATGTACACTACGTTTTCCTCGTTAGGGCAGTGTTATTGACGAATGCGTTGAGTATTCGTCGTTTGGGCTTGCGCGCCAATGAAAACGCAGCATCACAATGTTCTTGATTAACTGAAGAGGCATTCGATACGGTCACGAGAAAGTACTTGCTTATGGGAAAATTGGCGAGATATTTTCATACAATAAGAGCACTTAAACCGTGCACTCTGCTCTAAAACCCTACATGGGGCAATTCCCAACTGACGCTGCAACACTGAGTATGGGGCCGTCCATAAATGACGTCACACGATTTTGGACCCCCCCCCCTTCGTCACGCGGCGTCACAGAAAGTCAGACTCCCCCTCAAATATGACGTCACAAAGCTCTGCTCCCACCCCCCCAAAAATAAAACATGCTTCAAATCCCTTTAAACTATTGTCATTGTAGTGCGTATTTAATGTGGCGCTGCACTCTGATGTTGTAGGAGAAAACATTTATTAAAAAGTATATTTAATTGAGTAGAACGTGTTGTCTATATTTATTTAAAGTTGCGCATTTTGATGTGACGTCACATTTCTCAACCCCCCCCCCCTCTCGTCACATATCATCACAAATGTCTGACCCCCCCTCCCCCCAGGTACGTGACGTCATTTATGGACGGCCCCTATGTGCAAACTGTTCCATGTAAATGGCAATTAAATAAAGGATAACAACTTCGTCTCCTGGGCGCAAGAGGCATTGAGTTCCCCATTACAACACAAACAGGAACCCGAGCTACCCCCAGGTGCATAAACGCCATCCACACATCTAACAAAAGTGTTCTGCTGCAGTGGACTATTGATCTTCGCATAACCGCATTGCCCTGTGACAACAGGGCCGTTAAATTTCGCTTTCAGTTTGCCACAGTTGGAAGTCACTGCAAGCTGCTTTCCTGATTGGACAACAAGAGCAGTCAACAAATAGTGGTTGTTCAGAGATCCACAGCACTGAGGCGGCCCTGTGGAGTAGGCCATGTAAACAGGGCGGTGGTCCAGATGTCGTGTGACCCCGCATTTAATTGACCCCGTGCATTTTTTATTTTGCTTATTGATTTATATTTTCACACCTATTGGTATACAACATATTACGTTTTAGATAATTAAATGGTGGGGGGGGGGAGGGTCACAAGACATCGGGACCACCCTGTACATTGTTATCATGCACAATTGATGTATTCTCGTGTGCGAATGTGGACAACAACATATTGGTTACACTTGCTCTTGTCAATTGAGTCTAATTGTAATGCCAGCAGGGATTAGTTCTTGAATTCCGTTTAAATGATCTTGCATCTGGAGTGACATACGACGTCACTACTGTGTCGCGACTGTACGAGCGTAGGGACATATGACGTCACTACTGTGTTGGCTCAATATGGGTGACATACGACGTCACTACTGTGTCGGGACTGTACGAGCGTAGGGACGTATGACGTCACTACTGTTGGCTCGATATGGGTGCTGTCGGCGGGTGTCACAGGGGTCGTGTCAGGCCGTGACACTGCGTGAACCCAACAGGACACGTGACCGGATAAAGGGGGGCTAGGGGTCCCAGGGGGGGAGCTTGGGGGTCACGTGGTTGGGGCCCGGATTTTCCCGAAGGATCTAGAAGGGGGGCGTGGCCTGGGGCGGAGCCAGCCACGCCGCAGCGGTTATAAGCGGGGCGTGAACAGAGAGCGGGGCTGTTCGACCCTGGGATGACGATGCCATCAACGCTCCTCCAGGCTCCGACCTTCGTCCGTGACCCCAGGCAGCCAGTTAACCTGCCCTGGTCACGTTATGGAGTGTTCCCTCCCCGAGTGTTAGTGAGATTAGGAACGGTGGTCACCACCCTGTGTATAACGTGCCCGTTGGTTGTTATGGGTTAATAGTGTTGCCTCCAAGTTGAGTGTGTGCCTCAATCGAACCCATTGCACATCTGACCAATAATCCAGGCATAACAGACGTAACATATTCTTGGTTCTTTCAGTAAAGTCACGTAGATCGAAATAAAAGATAATAAAATTCAATTAAATAAAAATGTTAAATAATAAATTGAAAATAAAAGCAAAAACCCACGACGTTTCGATCGCAACACAAGCGGTCTTCATCAGGCACGAAGAGAAAAGAGGGGGCAAGCCTCCAAATGCAAAGACATAACATGCAGCTTGGAGTTTCTCTCTTGTCAGGCGGTAATACAAATTCCACCTGGGCTATTTCAATATATAAAATAGCAGGAAATATATATAAACAAAGCATACAGCAATCCTATGCACATATACGTACTGTTGCTGTTTTGGACCGACAGAAAGTCTTCAGTGCCACAGATTCCGGGACAAAAACTCGGGTTGGGGATTTGATCCTCATGGCGGTACCCCGGGGTACCAAATAATACTAAATGGCCGAGGCAATGAAATACTTTATTTCTGGGACAATATTTTTTCCAGTGGTGTTACTTAACTCCGTGACTTGGGTACCAATCAATCCGAAATCAGTGCTACTTTGCGATGTTGAAACGTAGCGAGGACGATTGCGCTGAAACCCTGAAGCCTCTCGGTATTTCACCGTGGTGGTGCATCCTGAGTACAGCTCGTCGAGATGAGTCGATTGCCACATCGCCGACCATCAACACAGACTAAACACGACTGCATCACGGACATTGTGCGAGAGCCGGGGTACCGCCATAAGGTGCATTTGTCGCAGAAGGTAACGGCATCTTGTCTTTTAGTTTATCTTCTTATCCGAGCCTATGTGTCGTTGAACCCGCCACCACCCGACACAGCCAATTAGTAAGGTTTGTCGCGTAAAAAGAACTTGCCAATTCATTACTAGTACAACACTAGTAAAGAAGATTAAGCTAGTTGAAATTACTGTCGAAACGTCGTACTCATACTTTAAATGCTGTGGCTTTGCTCTCCAATACACAACCAGTGTGCTGTACTAGTAACGAATTTGCATGTTCTGTTTACGTGACAAATCTTACCAATTGGCTGTGTCGGGTGGTGGCGGGTTTTAACGACACATATTTACGCGATCTAACCCAAAACAACCTGTATTGAGTATCCATATATTCGGCACTGTATATTGCACCACACGGATCCCTCTATGTCGTCAAACCTGTTTCTCTCCTACCCTTTCAAAACAAGCTCATGACAAACATCGTACGATACTCAAATACTTATTTAAATAATATTTTACATTTTAAAAATTCTTGACTGTTGTTTATTTTAAGTTTATTACATTTTTGATTATTTATCTTGTGTTGATCGCCGATTGTTTATTGTTTATTTATGTCTGTTAATTGTGATTAATTTTTTAATTGCTTGGTTGCACCGTGGGACCAAGAGAGAGGACTGTAATTTCATCTGTGTTGTATGTCATGCATGTAACACACTTGACAATAAAGTGACTTTAAGACTTTAAGAAAACGGCCGTGAGCTGGTTGTACACTCAGCACAAATTCGCATTGCGACTCACGCCACACGCTCAATCGGCACATACACACTCTCTCTTACACACAGAGGTCGTGTCACACAATACAGTACAATCAAACAATTCAACGCTCAGCACTACTGGATATATATCAAAGCATACATACATACCAAACTCTTCTGGATGATTAACATTGAGGAACACGCTCAAGACCTCCCTGTGGAAATGCCTCTAACAAACCAAACAAAAGATGGCTATTGCGGTGCGTAGTCTGTACTTTTATTTACACACAGCCTGTGAACAAAGCAACTGGGTAACTGCTTCTTTCCGAATATGCCTGTCTATCCACACGAGATAGTTCGTGAAGGAGCCGCGTCGT